CCAGGAAACCTTGTACCAGTGTATTTTGTTTATTTTTGAAGTTGGTTAAAGCTGGACTCGGTATCATTCCAGCTCTATAATGTCGGTTTGTAAATGATCGAATCTGTTCTACACAATGCACTGATTGAAATCTTGAGCATCGATCTACGCAAGAGGAATACGACAAAATGCCTCAACCAAATCAAGGAGCCTCACCTCACGATCCCGTTATGACAAGCATGGGTTGCTGAAGACCAATTCTAACCTTGATCTTCACGGCGTTACCAGACCTACCTCCTTAACATTGCAGTTCCAATTTCATGGCTTTGAAACATAATGTCAGCCCTTTGACAAATGTCTGTTTAATAAACATATTAACTCCCTACATCAAACAGAAACACGGGATCAACGTTCCATGTATTTGTAGACTATTCCAATAAAGTTTAAGAATCAGAATTACGAAATACAACATCGTTTTTATTCCACTCGTCTTATAAATTGCTCTTTGATGTTGTCTTCTGAAAACTACTGTCAGTTCTGGCATTACATTGAAAAATACTTCAAATTACTCAAATGAATTACTCAAGTCTATTTTAAAACTATTTTTCCTCGAACGTCTTTACAAAATTCAAAGACAGAGATACAGTTTTAGGTTTAGATTTTTTCACAAATAACTTTTTTAATAAAACAGAATCTGGTATATCGAGTAGTTTCACCCCAGGTGGCATTTTCATAGTTTCCTTTGTCTAGTGGTAATTTTTTCACTAAAACCGTGACGCAACTGGCTACAGAAAAAGATTTATGTCTGATAACAAGATTTATAAAGGGTCACACTGTGTTGCCCACATGGAACTTATTTCTTTATTTGAATCAAGTGTCTTCAAGATCTCCCAAAGTATTCTGGGAGATATGATTAATGTGGCATATCAGATGACTTCTTTATGTGTTCAGTAACACAGATGCTATTCTCTGAACATTTCCTAACAACAGCTATTGAATTTGGAGACATTATGCGAGCTTTTACTTGATATTCATTTATTTTATATTTAATAGCTTTTGAATGTCAAACCAATACATCGAGTTTTAATCACAAATACATTTCCAAAGTTCATCTAAAAGAATGCTAATCTTATCAAAGTTTCAAAGTATGTTACTGGAAAATATCTTATCAGAGACATCTTTTGGTTTCCCTGGCCACAATATTGCAGGAATATTGCTGAAAGAGGTGTAAAAATCACACTCACAAACTTTTATCACTGATTAAATTTGCATGTGGAAATTACTTTATGTTGAGGCTATGGATATGAAAAGAGTGGGAAGGATTACCCTAATGTTTGAGGCCTCCAGTTGGCTTTTGGTTCCTATCTCAGATTTACTCTGACCATGATCAAGGAGTTTCTCAGGACATACAATGCTTGTGAATTTCTCCCATGGGGTAAGCTTCAGTGGCCTGCATCCTTTATGGTGTCTGAACAAAATAAACTGACAAGCAGTGCTGTGGCAAACACCTGGTGTCCATTCAGTCAGTGATCCATTCATATAATTTTCAGCACTATTTTGCCTTGTGCTCTATGGAATCTGTTTCTGGGAATGTTGGGACTGTTCCTTCTCTGACATTGAGGTTTTAAACATAGAACCGAAATGCTGGTCAAACCCACTTCAGAGTAAAGTCATTCACCCCAAGACCAATGAGAATTTGGATGAGATCTCAGACTGTTAAGTACGTGCAAGTTGCCCAGACACCATCCGAAATATTTCTGCCTGTATAACCATCTCTCAGTCGTGGATGTGTCCAGGATTGTTGCCAGTTTTGGCAGCATTAGATACAAGTGGGTTTAGTTTTAAGCTGCTTTCAGCAATATTTCAGCAATATCATGGCTGAGGACACCAGAAATGGGTTTCACACATTGTACCCATGTGAGGAATCGTCGGTGTGACAAATGCTTTAACCATAAGGCTATCCCACAGCCCCCGCATTTGATACAAAAGCACCATAGACAGAAATCACACGTGCTCAGCTTGACAAGCTTACACCACCAGCCTTTAGGCTATCAACTTAGAACCCTGTACACAAATAAATACAAACAAAACTTCTCATACATCTTGATCTTTATTAACATTATCAGACAAATATTCATAGTTATTCATTTATATTCAAAATCACCATAAAATGATGCCAGCTGGAATTTATTAATCAGTTTATATTTGAAAATCAAATATTCAAATGGTAACCCCAAAAGATTAAAATACTTCAAAATAATGTAAACAAAATCAAAATGTCTCTAAAACAATATAAGGTGGGACAAAATCTTCGATGTTGACTTACATATGACACAATCATATTTTTAAGACAAGTGTAATTTATCATTGTAGGTTCTGCTGAGGTATTGAGGAGAGGATAACTTTAAATCATTAATTAGTGAGTGAGTTGTGTTTAATGCCACTTAACCGAAAGTATTCCATTTAAATCACATCGTGTAAGCTAAATGAAGGAAGAAAGCCTGAATTGATGCAGGGGACAGATGTTTACCACTAAGACAAACCTACAAACACAAGCAAGGAAACCAGGACTTGAATATATGATCACAGGAGTCTGGTGAAAACAAGGGGCACAACTCTGCACAGTGAATTATGGCACCTTCTATGACTCATGCCTCTGTGCCCCTTAAAGGACAAGGACAAGAATATCCTCCAATATTACATGACAGGTTCTTAGGTTAACCATTGTATAAGAACAATCTGTACAATGTACAATAGTATTCATGTCAAATTTCATCAATGTATGCATCAGCACAGAAATCATGTGACCAAACAAACTTACAGGAGTCAAAACACCATATCCAACAACATGGTACATCAATGATGCATCAGCACAGTAATCATGTGACCAAACAAACTGGAGTCAAAAAGCATATCCAACAACATGGTACCAAATGAATACAGTGTATCACACAACAAGCTTATCCTATGGGTGAAGAACAGAATATCTAAGCCAGGCAGTTTGAAATGGCGGAGAAAAACCACTGTTTGCCAATCCTGAACTGAATGATTTTAAAATGTTTCACACTGAATACTGCTTAAATCCAATGCAATTATAAAGTCTAAGAAATGTTTACCTCACAGTGAGCAGTGAGGCTTCATGTTGCTTTTAACAGTATGCCAGTTGTATTGAGGCATAAGAGTTTAATGTGACAACAACTGAAGTGAGCAGGTCACAGATGTTACCACCAGTCTAAGTAAACTTAGGCTCAGCATTATTCGTTACACTGCTATACTGAGTCTATCAAAACCTAGTAGAAGGTCGCGTCAGCTAACCTTTGACCGACCTATGACCATCCAATCAAACGAGAGACGGCTGAACAGATTTAACCAATCAGACAATGACTATTTGTTAGGGTTCGACGGGACTTACAAAACGTTTTTTGGATTTTCTCTTCCCTGGTCGCTGACACTGATCTATCAACAAACGAAAATCCATATAAAACACAGATATTTGACTTGCAGTATATACACTTAGGGGTTCATAATGACATGGCTACTACTGGCTTATATTTCTGCATGATGAAATCCTTGAATATTGACAAAAACGCTATTTTCAGCGACTGTTTACTCATTGTGTGTATCACTCGGAAGCGATCATGCGGAAAATAGCATTCGGAATCGTTCAAGTTTTTTAGGTAAAGGTTCAAACGGTATGTGCGAATGTTAACTTTCGCGATTTGGCAAGCTGTGTTCTGATTGGTCAGTCCAAAAGGTTAGCTGATGCGACCTTCTACTAGGTTTTGTTAGACTCAGTATAGCATGCAGTGTAACGAATAATACTGAGCCTAAGTTTACTTAGACTGATGTTACCAACCTATATGTGAAACCCATGAGCATTGGTATGGTGTTGACAATCAGAGACATATCATCAGTGCTAGCCTGGATTTGAACCAATGAAGGGTTTTTATTGCATGCCCTGGAATGGAACTTCCAAAACTGAAGCATAGCACCTTTCATGACTTGCCCCCATTTTCCATTTCAGCTCTTAAGGGGTTGAAATAACAAAATTCAGTCATGGCTTAATTTAAATTTTTTCAAAAACTTCTACCACAGCTGATCCATGTCTGGAAATATTTTTCTTTTGCTTTCTCAAGGACCATCTTAACCAGAATAATCTGAATCAATGTAAACGATTCTGGTGGTGAATTATTAAATATATATTGATATTCATACATTTAGTATCAATATTGTCATGACAACTCTACTTGTCTCTGTAGTGATGTTTCAGAAAACCTTCAAAAACTGAGTTGCTTGTGCCTAGAGCTTTAAAATGGCTGTGATTTCCTTGAAATGTTTGTTGCAATGTTGCTTTTGTGATGGAAAGCAATGAGCTTAAACCTGTGGCAATGCCTGATGAAAACCTGTTTGAAGAATATAATATAAACACTGGTAAACAATATTCCAACATATATGTGGGAGTGTCTGCATTTAAATAGATCTTCTGTGTCAACGTGTGAAGGGACAGCAAAGGTGTCGCAATGAATTGGGTAATCAGCCTTGATTTAACCACTGATCAGTTGATCCTGCAATGGCTAAGGGAGGTAACTCTCCTTAGTTATCTCTGACATGACATATAACTATATTCTCTAGTTCCAAACGAATGAAGGACTTAATGATATTACACAGAAGTTCCTCCTCGTCATTCACAGCATCATCACTGATGTACCGTACCAACACCAACATCTACATAAAACAACCAGTGTTCTTTTGTCCAGGGTAAGTTGTCCAACATATTTATGTGGAGAGTTTTACTTCAAGTGACCAATGGTTCACTAACTGGTCAGATAGCACACATGGTACTGAAAACACCTTGACCACTAGCCTATCCTGCACACATCAAATTATACCGTCTGAGGTTATTAACATTTCACCAAAGTTTCTTGTCAACCTAGGAACCCACCATTTAATATTCAAGCACTATTATTGTTACAGACAGGAGGATATTTGTTTTCATTTCAAAACATTCTGTAACTTTTTACCACACATTTCTTGACATGACATCTAGCATATTTAAACCAATTATTACAAATCCAGTCTTGTCAGTTTAAAAACAAAATGTCTCAGGTCCCCGTCCCCAGAATATTGAATGATGGGTCACTTATTATACCATATAATCATGTTCAAACCCATGGACTTTTCCCTCTGAAACATAGTTATGTCATTATCATTTCAAAATACTTCCAAAACAATAAAATAAAATATTATAAAAAGCCTCCCCCATCCATTTTCAAAATATCCAATTTTTGTTTACAATATTACTCATGGGGTGTCTGAGCTAGTGAATTCCAAGCCATTTGATAACACAATAATTTCAGCATCAGCTCACATCTGACAATTATTTCAATTAACCTGTTTCACCACAATTATATGACATTTACAATAACGCACCATTGTGATCGAGATCATCGCTAATAGCCTTCAGTGATCTCAAGATTCAAAAACTGTACAAAATGTAGAATAGTCCCAACTGTCTCCAAATTTTACCACCACGTCCCTCAAAGCTGCCATGTCCTTGTGACAGCCATTGCTGAAAGATCAACAGACAGCCCTGTTTGCCTCCACTGAATCAAATCCTTAAACTAGCCTGTCCTCGTCTTTTCATTGCTATTCCTGTCAGAATCAATGCCCCTGCATCATTTGTCTTCATCACAGACCTGTCAGTCATCATTACTGTACACACCATGTTTTTGTTTTCTTCTTGCAATATTTCCAGAACGTAATTCATTTGAGCACCATCTTCTAACTTTCTTGTCATGTTCAAGTTCACATAATTAGTTCAGCCTTCACTTGCATGACGTCCTACATCGATTATCCCAAAGTACACGTTGTCATGACTGCCTCTCTATAACCATCTTATCCACAAACAGCCAGCATCCGTGTTATTTTCCTTTTTCAACAGTCTTAATGCAAATCTGTTCACCATATTTGTTTGCCTTACGAGCCTTGTCCAGCAGTCCAAACATAGCTTCTTTCCGAAACAAGACCTCCCATCCAGAGTGAGAGATGCGTCACTAAACTTTTTTAGCTTTTTCCTGTATGATATTCTTCCTTACCAACAAGATCCCTGCCAACGTAACACGTCCCTGAACATACACAGTATTTTTCTTGCATTTGCCTTCTCAAAACCATCCTTCCCAGTGAAGTCCATATCAAAATATATTCTCACTTTGGGCTATGTAGTACTTATCTCAAGCCCTGATCAAGGACAATTTAGATTTGTTTTCCTCCAACTGAGCCAGTTCCTCTCACGCACTCATCATCCACACGGTAGAAAAATACTCTGTACTAGTCCTTGTATCACAGATTATTCACGCCGGCGTTGACGTTTCTTCTTGCGTCTCTTCTTCCTCCTCTCACTGTCCGACTCTGATGATGATGAAGACGAATCTGATGAGGATGATGACGATGAGTCAGAATTGCTGCTACTGCTACTGCTGCTGTTGTTGTCGGAGTTGGATGTGGAGCTGAGGTCGGAGGAGCTGTCACTGTCCGAAGATGAAGATGAGTCTGTGTCTGAGTCAGAGGAGGAGGAAGAGCTGGAGCTCTCGCCATCAGAACTGGAAGCATCAAGATTAAGGTATGAGTGAGTGAGCTGGGTTTTAATACCACTGAATTTCAGTATTTTCAAGGTGTGTTAGCTTAATGTGGAAGAAAGCCCAAAGTGACCAAATTCTCAGACGTTATCTACTTTAATGAAATCCATGGGTATGCTGGTGTTACACCTAGAAACATGACTGAGGTGTGAGTGAGTGAGTTTAGTTTTACGCAGCACTCAGCAATATTGCAGCCATATGGCAGGACTGTAAATAATCGAAGTCTGGACCAGACAATCCAGTGATCAACAGCATGAGCACCGATCTGCGCAATTGAGAACCGATGACATGTGTCAACCAAGTCAGCGAGCCTGACCACCCGATCCCATTAGTCGCCTCTTACGACAAGCATGGGTTACTGAAGATCAATATTCTAACCTGGACCTTTATAGGTACACGATTGAGGAAAACTAGGATTTGGTCATCAATCAAGGATGCAACTTAGGTGACTGGGACCCCACCAAATCCCCAGACATCTGTTTTGTTTATTTGTTTGTTGTTAAAAGCAGCACTCAGCAATATTCCAGTTATATGGCGGCGGTCTGTAAATAATCGAGTCTGGACCAGAGCCTTCAGTAACCCATGCTTGTCGTAAGAGGCGACAAACGAGGGATCAGGTGGTCAGGCTCGCTGGCTTGGTTGACACATATACATGCCATCGGTTCCCAATTGCGCTGGTCGATGCTCATGCTGTTGATCACTGGATTGTCTGGTCGATTATTTACAGACCGCCGCCATATAGCTGGAATATTGCTGTGTGCAGCGTAAAACTAAACTCACTCACTCATTATTCATTTAATTATATTTAAGCACATATTTATCTCTTTTATGTTTTTAGGAATGTCATATTTTATGTTGTTATTCATTTGTATTTTTGTCAAGCTCTGTGAACCAAAACAAATTCCTTTTAAGGTAATAAAGTAATGTCTGTCTGTCTGTTATAACGAGGTAAAATAGTCACCCTTTGAGTTACTTATAACCATAGTTTACTGTGTATTCAATCTTGAGACTTTCCTATAGGGTCCATGGTTTCTATGAGATCAGTCCTTGTGCATGTCACCAAGGATTTACCTTGAGTCCTGTTTTGAGGGTCCCTGGGACTCATACTCTTAAATTTCAGGGGTCCTGGACAACAAAATGGGGGTCCAGACACTTAAATATTATTATTAATAGTGTGATTGTCTTGTGTATCATGATCATCACATTAATTGTTACAGTAACTGAATTGCAAATGATACCATAACCCAGCTAAAGCAAACTCTTTGAGAACTTATTGTTACTTGATTGGAATTTTTACAAAAAGTATTTGGACTTATCTGTGTCCCTGTGGATGCGATAATAAATTTTGTTCCCTCCATTGTCAATTTTTATGTGTATAGGACGCAGGAATTCGCGTCCTGTAAATCCCTGATGTCACACAACTCAAACTCAATCCTAAAGAAGGTTATATCCTAGCAGAGTTATGTAAAGAAAACTGCAGCTAATGCTGAAGACATGCAAGAGGTGTGACCTTTCAAGTTCCCCTGAGGTGCTCATCATCATGTAAAAGAACCTAATGTACTCAGTCACTTACACTCGTTCTGGCTTGAAAATCTGCTGTTAGCTTTCTGTAGCTTTGGGGAGATTTGAATGTCAAGGCTGCCACCAATACATTATGAGGTGATCACGATATGTATCCCGAATGTAGGGTAATGAATACAGCTATCTATTCACCAATACAATACCAAGGCCATAGCTAATGTATTATTAATCACATTCAGCAACACAATAACACAATAACTTATTTGACATGGCGGGACAATGTTGACATTTATCATGATGTTGTTACAACTTTATATTTGTAGCCAAATATTTTGGTTGCCAGGAATGTAAGTGGCCTTGACAAATGGACGCAAGATATGCTGCTGAACGACTTATATCTTTTCCATATCTAACTGTGATAAATATCAGATGAGTGAAAATACATTCTTTCTGTATAAAATTCATGAATATTCAGATCTAATGACTATGAATGACAATTTATTCATGAAGGGATAGGATTCAAATCCCACTTATGGGTTTTACACCACTATCAGCTATATTTTAGCAGGGGACACTTGAAATGGGCTTCACACACTGTACCAATGTGAGGAATCAAACACATGTCTGAGGCGTGATGAGCAAACACCTTCACCACTAGGCTACCCACTGATTTGAGAGAAAACCTGAAGTGATGCAGGTCTAAGGCACATCCTCAGGGTCAAGAAGAATTTGAAAACTTGTACAACGGTTTCTGATATGCTGAAGGAGTGTGTGAGTGAGTTTAGTTTTACTCCGCACTCAGCAATATTCCAGCTATATACCGCTGGTCTGTAAATAATCAAGTCTGGACCAGACAATCCAGTGATCAACAACATGAGCATCGATCTACACAATTGGGATACAATGACATGTGTCACCCAAGTCAGTGAGCCTAACCACCCGATCCTGTTAGCCGCATCTTACTGAAGATCAATTCTAACCCGGATCTTCACGAGTCTAATGCTTGCTTTTTACACTCAAAACACGGGTTCTGAGAATGAAAGTCTAAAACTCCTCAGCAAACCTGAGTCATAAACTTACAACAACTGTTGTTGATAGATTTGATATCAAGATGGTACGGCAACATTTTCTTTCTATTCTGCACTAGCAATATCTACATAGTGCGGCATTGTCTTCATATCTTTAGGAATGTGTAACAATTTTATTTTATTTTCGTCAATTGAATTTTAATCATCAAATCCATGTCAACTTACCCATGCTTCTTCTTCTTTTTCTTTTCCTGGATCGTTGAAGTCTTAGCTCTGTAAAAGAAGCAGCAAGTTCATTATACAGGACCAGCATACCGTATTTACTATAATAACTCCAATGCTAAGGGCACTCAGATAAAGGGTGGTTAAGCAGCTAAACAGAACCAAATGATTTAAATTTGTTTTCAGAGCTGGAGCACTTTTAGGTCGTCCTCCTGTTTAACCTAATTTTCTACGGTGACATATGAACAATATTAACAGGAATATATTGCCCAAATCGTCAGAAGCTAGATTATATATGTCTGATTTCTGATTTCAGGAATGAACTGCAACATTTGTCATGCATATTATGATCCTGTCAGCAAACAGACTTTGCTCAAAACAACACTGAGACTAAAACATTTTGATAATATAGTCACAAAAATGGTACAGTCAAATCCGATGACTGACTGACTGACCTGTCGGTCCGACTGAGTTTGGTTTTGATGATAAATATTCCAAGCAAATTTGGTCCCCTTAGTTGTACACCAAGAAATGGGCTTCACACATTGTACCCATGTCACACCTTTCCGCCTTTGGATTCAAACCGGGTCTTCAGACTGGCGTGATAAGGTGCCCCTTTAGTGCTAACCATTAGGCTACCCACATATACACAAAAGAAAACATGGTATATGATAAAATCACACCCAATAGTAGCAACTCAGCAATTACACCCTGCTTCTGCGCTGGTGTTTTTTGCTAAGAAAATCTATAGTATACACACAAAAATATGGCATGCCAAATATGTTTTGGGTATTTGTGGGATGCTTCTAACCATTACTCACAGACTGGTTTAGAAAGTGGCCGAGGTTCTTTTTGGAGCAGGGTGCTTTAAATGGTATATACGGTATCTTCAACACCATGGAAAGCGATAACCACACCGTTTGCATAATCACTCAATGCCCAGACATCTGGGAGACAATCACCTCTCACATACATAGTAAATGTAACCCTGGAGACAGTCATTAGGAAAACCTTTTTAACGTGCAGAATCTTTCAAGAAAACAGCCGTCCAGTTCCGCCATACATGCACAGTATTTTGGATATCGCCTCTGCACCTGTGATTATCTGTGTATTATTTCATGAAAGTTTTTGACAGTAAATATCATACAGTTACAAGTTATTGCTTCCACATAACCCAAACTCCCACCAAACGAATATTTGCTATCCATTGCTTCACATTCTATATCTGCTGCTCATTCAGACGAAGACTATCAGACATCCATTACAACTTCCCATGAAATTACTGTTATTTTTCAGTAAGCAAATCAAAATTTGACACATGAATTTTGAAATGCTTCCAAAACAATTTTTGTCTGTTGCACACCAAAGATACTCACAAAGATTACAAAAACGAAAGACACATGGCCTCATTAGACTGTCTGGGTAGGATTGGACACAGCAATCTAAACAGTGAAAAGCTGTTATCCACAGAACATATGAGATCTAACTCTAGCTGGGTACTGATTTGAAGGAGCCCCAGCCTGAGGGTCACAGCAATTTAAACAGCTGAATGCCGTTATCCCTACAACATATGATGACTTCTAGATCCAGCTAGAGTATTCCTGTGAATGGGGTCCCGTCTGACTCAGATTATACTGAGATGGAGTTGACGGAGATGTCTTTCAAAAGAGGTAATAGCTTCGGAGTCTATCAGCATGATGGTAATAACTACTGGAAAAATATTCCTGTTAATTTAAGAGAAACAGTGGAGTCACTTGAGTGTTAAATGTTTGTATGATGGTTGAGGGAGTGAGTTAAAATTGTCTAAGCTTCATCAGCTGTCTTGTAGCTATTCTCAGAGAGCATATGATGCTCGAAACAGAAAACAAAGGCTACTCTCTACAACTTAAGCCTGGGAAATGTTATTGAAAGGTGATTCAAATGAATTCCCAGGATTTGCAAACTGCCATCCCTGGACAAACATTCCTTAGGTTTTTTGCATCATCAGTTTAATTTAAAATCCATTAGAATATCACATGGCACTAGAGGTGCCAGATGAGGGTTTCAAGAACATTAACTTTTCATGTGGTCCTGTTTGAAATGGAAAACAAATTCACATTTATGCCAAAATTTCCCTGTGCACTGCAAAAAGAAACAGAAAACTGCTGTCTTACAAACATCAGTAGAACCAAGCACATCAGCTCCACTGATTGATCTGGCAGTTTAGCAAAGGGAGTTGTGGAACATGCTAACTTGTCTTCTCCTATAATTAAGACCTTTACTAGTAAAGAAATACACTTTACTCCTTCCAGCCAGAGTGAGCTTCAGTATTGCCATTGATAGGAGCTGCATGGCTGACAGCCTGTATTTTAAAGAGCTGTAAGTACTATTGGTACGTTGAATATGTATGACAAATTTGCTTTTAAATGGAGCGTTTGTATGTTTTTTAAATTTGCTTTAAATGGAGCGTTGCATTTGTGATTCACTTATGTGAATGTATGAACCTGGTCTCATCGCTATATGGCTGAAATAACGCCAATACAAATTTAAGTTTTAACTCACTGATTGGAACATCCAAAGCAATTCTTCACTTTCATATTACTAATTATTTCCCATTAGAAAATGTTAAATGACAAGAAAAGAAAAAAATTATTTTGGCATAAGCTTACAAAAGACTTCAGCCCTAAAACATATTTCCACACAACTTTCACATGAAATAAAACAAAGCTACATGTAATGGCAGAGTAATTGTACAAAATCACATTTTAAGATGTCTGCCATGGCAGCCATCTTTAGAATGCGATACAAACTTTCTTTGTATTGAAAGATGAATCCCTTACAGTTAAGTTTCCTCCCATAGACTGTGTGGTGTCAGAGGAGACAGAACAACTGTATCTGCTCATACAAGGCAGATAATTTATGAAAAATATCAGTATCACAAATCCATATGATTTTCTGTACAGGTGAAAAAGAAAATCCACAAAGTTAATGCCCAGGAATGTATAACCCTCAAAACCCATTTCAAGTCAAACTCAATCAACAGAAGTAATCAAACATGAATAATAAACCTGAAACCAATTTCAACTGAAAATAAATGAAAATTTGATGGCCCCCAAACTTTCCGTTGTAAATGGATTGTGACTCACAAGAGCTCTAGTTTCTGTTTGTCTTCTTCCTGCTTAATTCGCTTGATCATTTCCTTGGTGCGTGACGGCCGGTGGACATACTTTCTCTTGCCCGTGCACTGATACGTCCAGTGACCGATCTCCAGGCACTTCTGACAGCGAACGTTCTCCGAGCTTGGTTCCCTGAAACAGACAAGAGCGGGCGTCAGACCGACTGGCACGATTACCTCCACAAATCACACAAGTACCCTTGGGACCTGCACATCTCAACACATTATAAGGAATTACAACCAGTTTGATGAATTCCGCTAACAATTCTACAACTTTGATGTAAATTTCTCTGTAGCAGTGATGACAGTTTGAAAAAGAAAAGTTTCCCCAGTGAATTAATCAGGATATCAATCACTATTAATTGGACTTCTCTATTTCTCCTGATCCCATTTTTCTCACCAACTGACGAGCAAGAAAGGAGCTACAAGATACTTTTTCCTAGTTATGAAATCGGATTGAATGATAGGTACGGGTTTTGTTGGTGATATATCTCCAAACAGTGTATCACCCTTTATACCTGTACATGCAAATAAATCATTGCTAACCTCGGGCTGAGTGATTAATCCATTATTCCGTCTATACCAGTTTCCTACGCAGCTATACACATGAACCGCCAATCAATGCCCTAACGTGCGAGCTGTCAATATCGACAACTATATCCAGCAAGTGGCTAGTCTCATTATCACATCTTTGAGGCTCGATACGTAATTTCGATTGTAACACCACTGGGATTCAACAAGGCTGCTGCTGTTGTAGAAATGCGTTAATTACTTCACATCTCATCACTGAAAGCCTTTTTGAGTTGAAAGGGATAAAACTACAACAGATGAGATATGGCCACATACATTTTCTCCTGATAATGGAAGCTGTATAACTACAGAGGAAGCAGTTCAATAGTTACAACTAATTTGTTTGGGCAATCTCAAAGAAATAGTTATAAATGGACACAGAACTGCAGAAAATTGGGTTACGTTGGTTTTTGATTCACATTTTCTAACAAAAAGACGGTATTCTTGCAGTTCTGAAAACACTCTTTGATTAATGAGTGAAGAAAGAATAATGTGTTACGGTAATTTGTATCAACTTCACAGCAATGCCTGTTATCAAGTCAGATCCAGACAAACTATTGTTGATGAAGTCGGATTGACAAAAGAGTGGCTGTTAAAATCTGACTCAGACCCAGAAAACCATGTGGTTGTTAGTGAGTCACAATGTCGGACTGACAGTCAATAACAAAATCATTGTAAAGCAGCATGTATATCACACAGTGAAGTATACCGTGGAGTGAGTGAGTTTAGTTTTACGCAGCTGTTAGCAATATTCCAGCAATATCACAGAGGGGAACACCAGAAATGGGCTTCACACAGACTACCCATGTGGGGAATCGAACGTGACGAGTGAACGCTTTAACCACTAGGCTACCCCACCTCCCAAGTATGCCGTGGAGAGTCTAGGATGGTTTACATCACCAGCAAGCTATATTTGTCCTAATAGGTGACTAAAGGGTTATGTGGTCAGGCTTGGTGACTTCAGCCATGTGTCCACAGCTTGAGTCAAATCCTGTTCATTCTAGATGAGATAAGGGACCGTTTATAATTTATGGCTAGGGGGTGGTGGTGGTGGTGGTGGTGATGATGATTTTAAGGGGTCACCATTTTGTTCTGGGGAGGCAGGGGGATCATCAGTTTTGAACATGACATGGGGTGTCACTGGTGGGGTGGTGTGTGGATGTGTGTGTGTGTGTGTGTGTGTGTGTGTGTGTGTGTGTGTGTGTGTGATTCATTCACATTGTACATGCTTCTCATAAAAATCATCATCACTCCCCAGCCTCAAATTATGAACGGTCCCTAATACTATTCAGATAACATTTTATCACATACTGTTGTTTCAGGTCAGAAATGTGGTCAAAGATGGAGGTCATATCAATATCTGATTTGTATGGTCCAAATATGTTTATCAACCAGCCAATGTGATACAGCTGGATTATTGCTGAATGGACATCATAAAACAGGTAAACAATGCAAGCCCATGGCAACATCAGTCTAAATATGTTTCCACAGATCAGGATAAAATGAACACCTTGCACAAATCAGACGACACCAGTGCCAACCAGTGTCAACTAGTGTCAACCTGACCTAATTGTTCATCAAGGGGAGATAATTAGATCAGCCCTCCCAACTTCAGATCAAAGCCTACCCTGATGATGTCATCCAACTGATGACACATGACATAATTGTTTATGAAGCCAGTTCCATTGATGCACATCAGCCAGACAAACGGCAAATCGATGCTATTGACTGTGTTGCACTAGGACGGTTTGTCGGACTGATTGTAATGCAGAGCTTTCAGACAGAACCAATACCACACTGACAAATCCATTAGTTCATGTCCAGGTTGAAACAGTGCTGTGAATGCAAACTGACATTTAAAAATAATGCTGATTCTATAACACTTTCTGCACCCACACCACCGACGAATCCATTAGTCCATGTCCTGACTGACACACTGCTCTGACTGATACACTCGACTGACATTGTAAAAATAATCCTATTTCTATACTTCTCATCATGAGTGAGTATGGTTTTACGCCGCCTTTAGCAATATTCCAGCAATATCATGTTTGGCACACCAGAAATGGGCTTCACACATATATATTATACCCATGTGGGAAATCGAACCTGGACCTTAATCAAGACGAGCGAAAGCTTGAACCACTAGGCTACCCCACCTTCCCTTCATGGGATAAAATGTTTCAGCACCTACAACCCATGTGGGTCTTAGGTCCTGGTCTTAGTTCCTTCTATGACTTCTTCAGCAAAGGTAGGGTTCGATTCCTGGATGTGTCACACCAAAAGATGTTACACCATGGTACTTGTTGTTACCCAGGCTGTCACTCAGCACAAATGGACATGGGACTGGTCAGCTCATGGTCAGTAATACCTAGTCTAGATAGGGGTATCCATGTTAAACTGTGGGATAATGGTTTTGTCAACAAAACTGACATCAGGCCAGACGTCCCACATGGACTATCTGGCAATAATACCTGACATAGAGCATAATACAGTTGTACAGCAGTAAACAGAGTGAGTGAGTTTAGTTTTACACCGCTTTTAGCAATATTCCAGCAGGGAACACCAGAAATAGGCTTCATACACTACCCCATGTGGGGAATCGAACCCAGGTCTTTGGCGTGATGAGCAATCGCTTAACCACTAGGCAACCACCTCCCCATAGTAATCAGAACATCCCATACAGTTGTACAACAGCAAACAGATATGTATGACAAAAAAGACACTGTATGTAATCTCAAGTGTGGATCTAACAGCCTCAGTGTCTAGTCTGTGACCAAGATGGAATATTAACCATGTTTGATCTGTCTTGATCTACATGTAATAAAACAGCTGGGATCAAACACTTGATTATGTTCAAACATTAGATAAAACACTCTTTGGAAAAAAAACCCAACAAACCAAACAGTTTTTAAACAAATATCAGTCTTAAAATTGGGTGTTGTTCAAAACATGAAAGAACTGAAATGCATGCTTGCCCGTGGCTACTTTCGAGTTTGTGAAAATATAATCTTGGTCGTCCTCCTGGTTAACCTAATTTTCTACAGAGACATATGAACAATTTTAACAGGAATATATCCTTCTTTTTATATATGTCCGATTTCTGATTTCAGGAATGAACTGCAACATTTGTCAAGCATATTATGATCCGTTGTCGCCACTTCTGCAAGAGACAAAGTGCTGGAGGCTACTGACTGATATTGAAGTTTAACGTCACTGAAGCTTGATACTAGATTTCTCTATGCATTTGGTGGTGTGGAAAAAGCTCTTGGCTATTCAAATCAGGCCCTGATGATTGGTCATAACAAAACTTAAATCTGACACAGTAACTTAAAACCCAGTTTTTACCACAAATTTGAGAAAAAAAAAGTCAGGAAATGCATTTCCACAGTAACATGACCAAAAATCCCAAGACATATTTACCACTATAGACCATAATTCCCAAGAGTATTTGGACAGTATTGACCAAAGTCCCAAGACATATTTACCACAGTAACATGAACAAAAGTCCCAAGACATATTTACCACAGTAACATGACCAAAGGTCCCAAGACATATTTACCACAGTAACATGACCAAAGTCCCAAGACATATTTACCACAGTAACATGACCAAAAGTCACAAGACATATTTACCACAGTAACATGACCAAAGGTCCCAAGACATATTTACCACAGTAACATGACCAAAAGTCCCAAGACATATTTACCACAGTAACATGACCAAAGGTCCCAAGACATATTTACCACAGTAACATGACCAAAAGTCCCAAGACATATTTGTAACATGACAAAGGTCCCAGACATGTTTTCCACAGTAACATGACCAAAGGTCCCAATATTTACCACAGACATATTTACCACAGTAACATGACCAAAAGTCCCAAGACATATTTACCACAGTAACATGACCAAAAGTCCCAAGAAATATTTACCACAGTAACATGACCAAAAGAGAACAAACGCTGTATAGAATTACTCCATTAATATGAACATAATGGGGTTCTGTCATGTGCTGCCAGATTATCTATTTGAAACAAAATCAGTTGTTTCAGCTTGTAGTATATAAAAAAAATTCATGGACACGCGCTGCAAGCTCTTTCAGTTTTTTCCCTGTCCTTCAAAACAAGGTGTTTACATGACACCATGGAAGTAATTTCATATTTTATCAGCTCAGGGCATATTAGTACTAGGAATAAAAAAGACATCACTCCCTTTGATGTGAAATTCCATTTGGAGATGCTACATAATCACAAGAATATCTTCGTCATCATACATCCAATACAAAAATGTATGCCATCATTATATAAGGCCTGTTACACATCCATCTTCAGATGTCATCTACCATTTGATGATCCTCCAAGAAACCTAATACTGTCACCAGGTAACATTATCCTGCTCATCTTACCATTATTATTTATACCTCGGCCTAATTACTGCCAAACGTAACATTCGCACATCACAATGGGATCGTACGATATGAAGCATGATGTTATAAGAGACTGATAGTGAAGAGATGAGGTATAAAGCGATCAAACAGCAAACCATACTAATGAAAGGGCAA